ATTTTTTATTTTATTTCCAAAATAATCCAACAGCGGAAGCCAATTACAGGATGTCTTATAATACATATAAATATATAGAAAAATACAAACAAGTGAAAGATAAATTGATAAATAACATTACAGTATAAAATGGAAGAGAAATTTACAAATATATTGCAAAAAATTATATCTTAAGCTAAAAATTGCAAGTTAAAAAAAATACAGATAAAAAATCCAGATTGGTAAATAAACAAACAAATGCAAAACAAGTAAATAATTAATAAAATTACATTAGAAAATCGGAATTGGTAAAATTTTTTATAAAAATATTGCGAATGACATCTTAAGCTAAGAGTTGCGGAAACAAAAAAGAAATTAAAATAAAAAATTTAAAAAATTAAAAATTAAAAAATAAATAAATTTTTAAAAAATAAATAAATATGCAGACATACAAAAGGAAACAAAACACAGATCCAACACAAGCACATAGACAAGACAAAATAATCAAAAACAAAGCAGACAAAACACGGAAGAAGAAAACATAAAAAAACGGACAGAACACAGAACAAAGGTCAAACAGAAACACACACACACACACACAAATTAAGGAATTAACCCACCCAGAAAAAAGCCACTTAGGTATTATGAAGTAAAGATTGCGATAAGCTGTTTTCGAATGAACTAAGGCTCTGGTGAAAAATATCTATCAACGTAAAATTATGAGAAAGTTTATTAAATGAGAGGGCAAGACGATGAATAAAACCATTTTTAGTGCAATTGACTCTGTTTAAGGGAACCAAAAATAGGTCATTGCGACGAGAGCCGGGTCTATTGATCTTGAGAGGAAATAAGGAACATAAAGTAGTATCAAAAATAGAATTAACACATTTGAAAAGAAAAACCATGTCAAATATATTTCTCTTTTCATTAAGTGAGGGAAGAGTGTATGAAACAATATTATCATTTTTTTGTGATTAATAAAATATAAAAATTTAGACTGGACTCTCTCAATCCGATGGGCTTGTGAAACAGAAATAGAATTATAAATAACACTGGAATAATCAAAAATAGGTCTGATTAAGGAGATATAAAGATGCAATTTGTTTATTTGGTCAATGGTTTTACAATGACGCCAAAATACTCCGAGCAACCGGTTACCTTTGCTAACAATGGCATCAACATGTTGGTTGAAATTAAGTTTTGAATCCAAAAGAATACCAAGATCTTTTTGTACATAAACTCTGCTAATACAAGTACCCTCAAGATTATATTAAAAATAAAGGGAGATTTTTTTAGACTAATAGTCATGACGACACGTTTAGTGGGATTGAGAGAGAGATTCCAATCAGCTGACCATTTACACAGCCTATTAAGATCATCTTGAAAGGCTAAGGCGTCATTTATATTCGTGACCCTGTGGAACAGCTTCAAGTCATCAGCAAACATTAAACAATGGGAATTTTGAAAAATAGAAGGGGCGTCATTAATATACATATTAAACAAAAGTGGGCCTAAAATTGAACCATGAGGCACTCCAGATGTGACAGGCAACTACTCTGACGCAGCACCTTTATAAGTAACCCTCTGTTTTCTGTTCTGAAAATAGTTTTGTAACCAAGATAGTACAGAGCCACGAATCCAAAACTTCATAGCCTTGTGGACTAGGAGGTCATGACAGACAGAATCAAAGGCCTTAGAGTAATCAGTGTACACTACATCACACTGAATCTTCTTGTCAATGGTGGTATAGACATACGATAACATAGTTGCCAAATTTATCTGACATGATCTCCCAGGGACAAAGCCATGTTGCTTGGGAGACAAAACGGGTGCAACATGGTTGTCAATAACATCAAAAACAATTTTTTCCAAACTTTTGGAAAGGGTAGGCAAAATTGAAATAGGACGAAAATTTGCAACAGAATCGCGAGATCCACCCTTATGGATTGGGCAGATATTAGTACGCTTCCAAGCAGAAGGGAACACACCAGAGGAAACAGAGAGCTGAAAAATGTGGGTAAAAGGTGCAGACAGAGATTTAGCGCAATATTTAAGAACTTTGTTACTTAGCCTGTCACACCCGGATGCCTTATGGGATTGAATAGCTTGAAGAAGCTGTTCCACACTGAGTTTAACAGAAATAGATGAAAGATATGATAAATATTTTTCTTTTGCCAAGTGTTTAAATATCATACGAGCACTCCTAAAATCATCTTTATGAAATTGAGTATTCCATTCTTTCAGTATTCTCCTTTTGTGTTCTTTAAGTTTCAATGCAGATCGCAGGGACTTATCAAACCAAGGGGGAAGATTTTTTTTAGGAGTGATCGTAGGAACAGTATTCTTAATAGCAGCATGAACAACAGAACAAAATGTGTCGAGAGCATCGTCAACATCAACATTCGATAATATATTATTCCATGAAATGTGGTTAAAAGTATTACTTAACTCAGACCAATCAGTTTTAGAAAAATTGAAGACAGGTCTACTGCAAAATTTTTGTTTGCGAGGATTCATAAATTCAAGTTCAATATGAAGTGAATCATGATCGGACTTGAAAATATCATCGCCAACAGAAACTCTGCAATTACGGTAGGAATTATTACACAAAAAAAACAAGATCTAAACTATTTTTGCCTCTAGTTTTTAAAAAATTATGCTGAACAAAAGAAAAACTGTTTAAAATAAGGTCTTTGAAGGAGATATTGATAACATTGCTATTCAAACAGGTATGACCACCATCAGAATTCAACGTGAAATCTGGCAAATTAAAATCGCCAATGAGCATTATATCGGAGGATGGTTCAAACTGATGCAACTGAACTAGTGATCTATGGAGAAGTTCAAGATATTTACACTTGGAATTAGGTGGTCGATAGTACAATCCAATTATACATGTTTTAGTATTCGATGCCTTGAGTTCAATCCATAATAGTTCATTGCCGGGTATATCATATTCAAATAATCTTCTAGAACGATATTTTTCAGTAACCAGGAACATCAATCCACCACCACGTGTATTGTTCTGACGATCCAAGCGATATAGAGCATAGACTTTAGTTAGGAAAGGCGTCGTCCACATATTTGTTTAACCAGGTCTCGCAGAGTGCCACAATGTCATACTTGTTATTAACTAGATTCGCCATTAAAACATAGTCATCCATCTTATTTTTGACACTGCGGACATTTTGATAATAGATAGCAAGGCAACGTCCATCTTCTGGACCCGTATTTAGTTCAATGTCGCCATTAAGCACAATTCGCGTAGACAGGCCACATGATTTGAATAGTAAGGTACAGCTCGTCCACAGTTTCTTGTATTAAGCTTCAAAGAAGTAATAATGAGCGACTTTGTACTCACAAGTAAAAAGTGGATACACCTTAGGCCTGATCGAGGCCAAATCCCTGTCCATTTGTTTGCAGTAGCCATAGTGTTCAGGGTTGAAAGTCACGTAGCATCTAGTTGCAGTGGGCTGGGTAATGTAATAGTTGTGGCTAAGATTAACAACAGCAATTGGAGGGCAGATATAGCAAAATTCACCAAAAAGGAGCCCTCTACATCTTCTAGGTGTGTTAAACAACGAAGTACCACAAAACAAATATAGATAAGTTATCAAAAATGCAGAAAATCAGGTGGTACAGATAAAAAATATAGCGAGTAAAAATACACTCAATGCGGACCTAGTATGATAGAGCAACGAGTAGCTAGGGAGCTACAAAGAACAATAAAGGGCGTGAACTTATACACATCT